GAATGTAATTGTAGCATCCATCTTTCTGGCTGAGGTTACCTGTCCTCTGCAATAGATCAGTGGGGAATAGGGTAGGAGGGATGTGGAGGGCAGAAGGTGACAAGGCATCCCTCAGCCCCACAGCGCTCAGGATCTGCTGGCAGGTCTGTGTCTCCGGAAGGCTTGAGTGTGTGTCTGTGTGTCTGTGTGTATGAGAGAGAGAGAGATGAGCCAGTCTGAAAGGTGATGAGGAAGAGGGGATAGAAAGGGAGGCAAGAGAAGGAAAATAGGATAGAAAGGTCCAGGGCAGCCATTCGAGCTGAAAGGACATGGTGGCTGGCTGCATCTGCGGGGGCAGAGCATCCTTTTGCAAACCATCTCGGGGTGTATGTCCACAGGAAGGTGCAAATAATCTCTCTGTTACTCCGCCATGCCCCTGGCCAGCCTTGCACTAACCATCTCCCGGCCAGAGGAGGGGTTTGTGCCTGTATTAATCAGTCCTGCTCCCAGGCTGCACAGCAGAAACCCAATTTCTGGTGAGCTTTGTGTGTTCTTTAATGAGAGAGCCCAGTACCCTCAAATCCCAAGAGGAGGTTAACTCATCAAAGCCAACATTTTATTAACACGTACCTGAGAGCAACAAACATCTCAGTCGGACGAGGTCAGAGGAACCAGTGATATACAACGTGGCCTTGAAGAGCGTGAAAGGAAATCTTCCTCTTCTCCCATTGGGGCAGGTCCAATCTTGTCTTTCAGGATGGCTCACAGTCAGTAACTTTGGCAGTCTCTGGCTAATCCCTTCAGGATCCCTAAAAAAATCTCCTGTCTATTACTTGTGTATCTGATCCCTGCCTCCTTGGATCCCCCATCCCTGACAGTGCAGATTCCCAGCAGGCTGGGTCTTATTCTGCAGTTAGGATGACAGGAGGCACCAGGCAAAAAGGCTTTTCCCTTCTGAAAGGGTTGGACATCCAGGGAATGAACAAAGGAGCCAGATATGGTTGCTCAGACCCCATTGGCGGGGGCACTGGCACAGCAAGCCTGGG